AATTCAGTTTGATTTGATCTGATTTGCATTGCTGTGTGGGTGGAGAGGCAGAAACTTCTCAGTTGAAGAATTGGGAAGGTTGAGAACCCCTGACTGAGAAGGGATGTATTAGTTGCTTTTCTGCTGCTGTGGTCAAGCACTATGCCAAGGCAACTTACAGGAGAGTCTATTTGTGTTCACAGTCCTAGAGAGAAGAATCCATAATGGAGCACGCACCGGGGCGGAGCAGAGGCAGGAAGGGAGCATGGGGGGCGGAGCAGAAGGACGGGGCGGAGCAGAGGCACGGGGTCAGAGCATGGAGGCGGAGCATGGAGGCGGAGCATGGAGGCGGAGCATGGAGGCACAGGGGCGGAGCATGGAGGCGGAGCGGAGGCAAAGGGGCGGAGCATGGAGGCGGAGCAGCGGCAAGGGGGCAGAAGCAGGAAGCTGAGAGTTCATATCTTTCACTGCAAACACAAAGTAGAGAGAGAACTGAAAAATGGCATGAGTCTGCAAATGCTCAAAACCTGCCTCCAGTGACACACCTCCTCCGACAAGGCCACACCTCCTAGGCCTCTCAAGTGACACCACCGGAAGTGTCCACATGCCTGAGAGTATGGGGGACTTTGACCATTCAAACCAGCACTGGAGGGGGCTTTAATGTGGGTTTCTCACTCAGGCCCTCGCCTGGCGGTAGTGGCATGCACACCTTTAATCTCAGCACTTGGGAGGCAGAAGCAGGTGGATCTGAGTTGGAGGCCAGCACGGTGTACAAAGTGAAAAACTCTGCCTCAACAAACAAACAAAAATCAAACCCAGGTCCTCATGCAAGTACTTTACCAACTGAGCCTGGTCCGTTCACTTATAACTATATTTAAATGCGACAACTGGAGACGCATATTATGTTCAAAGCAAGCAGATGAACTTGCTTTAAAAAGAACTATATGGGGCTGGAGAGATGGCTCCGCAGTTAAGAGCACTTGTTTTTTTTTTTTTTCCCGAGATTTTTAATGCTGGGATTAAAGGCATGCGCCACCACCGCCCGGCTTTTTTTTTTTTTTTTTAAGATTTATTTATTTACTTATTGTGCATACAGTGTTCTGTCTGCATGTACTATGCGGGTCAAAGTCCTCCATAGTGTCAGGCATGTGGACACTTCGGGTGGTTTTACTTGAAAGGCTTAGGAGGTGTGGCCAGAAGAGGGCACCAGATATCACTACAGATGGCTGTGGTTGCTGGGAATTGGACTCAGGACCTCCGGAAGTGCCTACTCTTAACCTCTGAGCCATCTCTCCAGCTCACTTGATGCTCTTGTAGAGAACCCAAGTTCTCTACATGGTGGCTCATAACCATCCATAACTCCAGTCCCAAAGGATCTGAAGCACTCTTTTGACCTTCTCCAGCGCATACATAAATGCAAGTCAAACACTCACAAATAAATGAATACATCTAATTTTAAAACTACATGAAAAGGGGTATACGTGAGACCAGGGATGCCATGTAACAGAAGTTCTCCAAAGAAACATCCATGTATTTCATAATATTTACTAAGGATCAATAATAAGAATGTGCCATATCCAATTCTCCATACATGTTATCAGAATTCAAGAGTGACTACCCACCTGTGAGAAACTTAGGCCAACAACAGATGTGGGAGAAACTGTTTATCACTGGCATTTTCTAGAACTCCCCAAATCTAGTAATAATTAAGTGGGGGCAATCTGCACCCACTTACTGCATGTGCATGTGCTTGGGTGCAGCTCTCATGGCTCCCCAAGGAAGTCACTGTCCGTGGCCATTTTGTAAATCTAAGCTTTTGACAGAGAGAAGGATGAAGAGAGGTGGATTGGCTTAAACATTATGTCCCCAAAATTCAGGTCTACCCCAAACCACAAGACGTGACCTTATTTGGAAATAATGCTTTGAAGATATCAATCATTGAGCTCACACCAAACTCCAGCCCAATGGATACTATTTGTTTAAGAGGGAAGGCATGGTGACTCATGCCTGAGACCCCAGCATGTGGGAGGCAGAGCCAGGGAGAAAAGATGTTTCAAACCAGCCTGGGCAACTTAGTAAGAAAGGGGGGGGGGGGAGGTGAAGAGGGGGAGGAGTCAGGAGCTGTAGTCCTGCATCTGCCAAGCAAGGAAAGGGGAGAGTTGCTGGCAGTGAGGGGAAGAGGCCACAAGGGCCTTCCACAAGGCTGTAGGAGAGCCTGGCTCTGGGTGGACTTGGTTTGCACTGGCTGGGTCTGCTGCTCCGAGAGAAAGCATTCTCACTGATTGGAGCAACCCGCTTTGTTTGGATTTGCTCTGACAACGCTGGGGAAATTAACACAGACGGAAAACACTACACAGCCTCAGAGAACTCTCTGTATGGAAACACACTTTGATTATTCTGAATTTCACACTGTCTGGCTTGGAGCTAGTAAGGCCTTCAGAGAGTTTTGGGTAATAATCAGAAAAGACAAAAGCAAGAATTCCATGGGTGTCATGTTCTCTTTCTGCCCTAGGAAACTACACAGATGGAAATGGGGATTTAAAAATCAAAGAAAGGAGTGAAGTGTATTTTAAATTTAAAAACTGAGGAAATCCCCATTGCATTTCTAATTGGAAGAGCTATTGGCAATCTTCTCCATCTGGCTTGGGGGGTTATGAGGTACAAGTTTTAATTGACTGCTTACATCGTTTTATCACCTTCTGACAATAATTTAAGTGAACAAACTTGACAATAGAGATGATATAAATAGCCTTCTGCTGCTTTCAGCAGCATCAGTTTCCTTGCATAGAGAGTGCCAAGAGACAAGTGATGCTGAAGGGAAACGGCAGCTAAGTACTCCATCTAAAAAAAAGCAAACTATGATTATCATCCAAACCTATTTACTGTGTCAGTGAGGCGGCTTAGCAGATAAAGGCTCCTACTGCCCACACCTGATGACCAAGTTTGGCTTCCCAGGCCCCACGTGGTGGAAGAAGACCACCTCCACGGCACTGACCAGCAGGTATGAGCTGAAGTGACCTGTCCCTTCTCTCCGGAGGTCGCAACGATGCAGAAGTAACTAGCACACAGTATACACCAACCATCGTGGAAACTCTAGTTCCTAACATATTAACACATCCACTGATTTACTCAGATGCCAACGTGTGGACAATCTCTTGCTCCACAGCTGGCCACCATCATGATTGGTGAAGTCAGATACCTGGGGGTTAGCAATCAGCATAGCCAGTGTCTTGACTACAGTCATTGCTAGAATCCCTGCAGTTTTGTTTACATTCGGGTCAAGAATCTTTCTATCATGAGCTCCTTTGCAAGGGCTGAACCCTCTCTCTGGCTTCGCATCCCTCTACTCAAACTCTCTACCTCTGACCATTCCTTCTTAGATTTCTCTACAGACTGTTCTCTTTCACCATCCTTATTCTTCAGGGTTTGGTCCTCTTTGTGTATTTTCTGAGGTGTCATCCTCTGCCACAGCTACAATTACCTGTGTTCTGCAGATGTACACATCCAAATCCCTAATTCAGTCAAATTCTTATTTAGTTTTGTTCCTATGTGGCCTCAAACTGATCCCTTACCTTACTCTCCCAAGTGCTAGGATTAAAGGCATGTACCACCATGCCTGGCTTGCCTCTGTTTCTCTGGAGTACTCATCAGCTCTTATTATTAGTGCTTTAAACGAAGTCACCTCCCAACCAAATTCTTAGCCTTCTTAGGGTCTCAGAAAAAAATGAACTCAATGCATTATCCCAGTTTTATCAGGAGGATAACAGCCAAAGCACAATAGGACCCCAAGAGGTAACTGAATGAATAAACACTGACAATCATGGTCTCCACAGAAGCCACAGAAAGTGACAGTGCATTCCTCACCCATGCAGGGATGCAGGGAAGGGGCAGCACATCTTCATTCCCTTCAATGCCCAGAGGCTGACTCTTCATGCAGAGCGAACGATGGTCCAACCAATATGAGTCCAAATGAAAAGGACTGATGTACTACGATACACGTTCTACTTCTTTTCTCTGTGGTAAGCTTGAATGACTCGTCATTCTTCGCATTTTATAAAGACAACACACAAGACATCAATATGTGGGAGAACACACATCCTTGGCCAGGAGAATGAGAAAAGAAGTCCAAGAATCGTCCTCAAGCATGTTATGCATGTGTGCACACACTCACATTCATATTCTTTCAGAAACATGTTGTACACTTAAAAGACAAATTCAAATGAACTGCATAAGGGTCTATGCCATTTGGGCCCAAGGAGAGGTGATGCCCATTGTGACTGACGGCACCACCACGCACCCATCACCTGTGGACACCAAAGGTCAATGCCAGGCGAAGGAAACTCTAGGAAAGGATTATTATCCCTGCTATTTACATACTGTGGCTGTGATAGGCGAGACCCATTTTGACACAAGGAAATAGCATTTAAAGAGGTGAGTAAACCCATATAGCTAGTAAGTAAGAAAAGTGCAGCTCTTTGCAGTCCTAAGTACTATATCCCAAAGTGGGAAGGAGGGAAAAGTTAGAAAGCATCAGTAGAAGCGTGTGACTTTATAAAATGATGGCAAATGGCTAAAGAAATAAGTATAAGTTAGTTTTGTTGTTGTGGCTCTGCAGACTAGAAGTAAGAAGAAAACAGGCTAGGCCGGATCCCTGCTTATCATGCAACCTTCTAACAGTACTTACACTTTAAAATTACACATACATGCTACTTAGATATGATGCAAGAACACAATGGAGAAGAGCACAATGGCATACCGGGAGAGATTTTGCTGGGGCTCAAACCCCAGCATCATGGAAGAGAGCAAACAAGAGAAGAGTGTGAAACAGGAGGCTATGGCCAAAATAGAATTCTGATCCATTCAGGAGTATAAACCCACAGCAACACGACCAGAAACTTTGAATGCTATTATTTTGGATGGTAGAATTGTAAATTTTGCGCGTTGCTTCTTTTCTTTCAAATCTTGGTACTGCCGTTAATCAAGAAATAACCTCCTTTTCACAAAATGGTGTATGTACTTACCTTGGCTGATTTCTCAATACTTAGGCCTCCATCCAGCACGAAGTGAATTGTCATGTTGTATCCAGTCTGGTTTCCATGTCCACGAGGCCACCAGGGCTCCACTGCAATCTCCTTTTAAGAAAAAAGTCATTCTAAACAATGGGGCGTATTCTTAGAAAAACAGTACTACTTAGCAGGTTATATGAATTTCTAAATAGTGGAACACAAACTGTGTCCTAAACCAGCATAAATGTCCATGCCTACTCTCTGCCAAAGCTCAACCACAGAATAAGTATTTTAAAATTTTACGTTTGATTATCTTGAGTCAGGATCTCCTGTAGCCCAAGTTGGCTTCAAACTCTCTGTGTAGCAGCCATGGCCATGAACTTCTGGTCTTCCTGCCTCCACCTCCAGAGTCCTAGGATTACAGTTTATGTGTTGCTGAGGATCGAACTCGGGGCTTCATGCATACTTGGGAAGGACTCCACCAACTGAGCTATGTTCCCAGCCCCTCCACTTAGAATAGCTAAAAAACCAACATGCTGGGAGCATAGCACAGAATTCATCGTGGTGTTCCCTGCTCTACCTCTCCAAATTGTGTTTATTCTATGGTCTCAACACTTAGAACTGGAGGAAGTTGATTCTTCTACACCTAGGACTGGAGCTCTTGTGGAGTCTTGCTTTCTTCCAAGTTGTTACTCTGCTCTGTCTTTGCCTAGTCACAATCATCAACCAGATTAATAGGGAAAAAAAAATGAAAGCTAAAACCTACCCCATCTAAACATGAACAAACCTTGAGACCAGGTTTAGAGTTTTACTGGTGGGATAAATACCAATGTTCAAAGCAAATTAAAATGAATGGAAAAGGCTGAGCGTCGGCGACTCGGAGCTGCGGGATTGGTCCGAGATGGCAGAGGTGGAGGAAACACTCAAGAGACTTCAGAGCCAGAAGGGAGTGCAAGGGATCATCGTGGTGAACACAGAAGGCATTCCCATCAAGAGCACCATGGACAACCCCACTACTACACAATAAGCCAACCTCATGCACAACTTCATCTTGAAGGCACGGAGCACTGTGCGTGAAATTGACCCCCAGAATGACCTAACCTTCCTTCGAATTCGCTCCAAGAAAAATGAAATTATGATTGCACCAAATAAAGACTATTTCCTGATTGTGATTCAGAATCCAACTGAATAAGCCACTATCTCCGCTTCCTGTGTCATTCCTTAATTTAAGGTCCCCCAAGAGTAATAGTGTTAATCATGTCAGTGGGCACATGGTAGTTGCCTGAGAGTCTATGTAGACCATGCCATTGATCAAGGGTTACTCTGTCCACCCCAACAAGAAGTGTCTGTGGCAATCCAGTCAGTTCCTAAGAAAGCTTGGTTCTTATTTTCAGGCTTTGGAGTAGGAGCTTATGATAAGCCCACACCCAGCTTCCTTCTGATCTTGTCACCCTTGGAAAGCCTGTTTTTTCTTTAACTAAAAATAACTTCAAAATCAAAAAAAAAAAAAAAAAAAAAATGAATGGAAAAGAACCATCACACTGAAACTGGAAATGTAGAATCTAATATGGGCTAGGATATTGCAAATGACAAAGAAAAAAATTAAAGATATAACTGACTTCTTAGAAGAAAAAATGGCAAATTAATCACATGTTATTTCCCATTATATTAATCTCACATATGAGAAATCACTTATTAGTTAATATACAGAATATACAAGAAGTTAAAAAATAAAGGCAAAAATGTTATGTGTGGTGATATAGACCTGTACACCCGGAATATCATCACTTTAGAGAACCAGAGGCCAGAGGATTACTCAAAGTTGGAGAGCAGCCTGAGCTACATATTGGGTTTTAGGCCAGCCTAAGCTGACGCAAGACCCTATGTCAAACAAACAAAAGAAGCCAGCCTGGGCTGCTGAGTGAGTTCCACTTTGTGTCACAGTGTGCAAAAAAACCTCTAGAGCTGGGTTGTGGTGGCACACACCTTTAATCCCAGCACTTGGGAGGCAGAGGCAGGTGGATCTCTGTGAGTTCCAGGCCAGCCTGTTCTACAAACCAGTTCCAGGACAGCTAAGACTATTACACAGAGAAACCCTGTCTTGAAAAACAAACAAAAATCCTAAATAAATGGAACCCATAAAAAGATGGAAGAGTAGTAAGAAAACGATTAGAAAACATAAGAAGGTAGATGCCCACTCCCACAATCCCACTTCTCTTTCTGAACAGCAAGTCCGTTCATCCAGCATTTCCCCGGAAGTGACACCACTCACCTTGCTAATTTTCACAAGGAGTTTAACAGTCCTTTGCCTCTGTTGAAGTTCGATGTTGTACGTCTGCTGTGTTTGCAGTTTAGGGATGGCTACAATCGCCTGACCACCAACTGGCTTTGAGCTGACCACATCAAAAGAGGCCTCGATCTCAACAGTCCACTCCTGAGAAGTGTTATCTACAGCAAAAGAAGAGAAGAAAGAACGCAGCCTAAGCGTCATCTCAGCGCACCGCAGAACTTGATGAACAGGCTACAGGAGCAGTGGCTGTGCATGAGTCCTCCCACAGAGGAAGCTAAGAGGAACTGTTCTTTTAATCTGCAGAGTGGAATCCTTTGTCCTAAACAACTGGAAACGTGCATTTTATACAGACTTGTGGCAGCTCAGGGAAAAAAATCAAGCAACTGGAGTTAATAAAATCGTAAATAAGCAGTAACTGTTAGGATGTTAGCAAGATAGTGTATCATCCAGCTGGTTGTCATCCATTTGTTGAGATATTAGCAGGATAGTGTGTGGTCCTGTCTAGTCGCCATATAATTGTTAAGATAGTAACAGGATAGCATATGACCCTGCTGGTTGTCATATAATTGTTAAGACATTAGCAGGATAATATACGATCCTGGTAGTCACCATATAATTGTTAGGGTGTTAGTAGGATAGCGTATGATCCTGTCTAGTTGTCACATGCAGTGGGACCTAGGTCTAGAATATAGCTTCCTAACGCATCTCTTCAGGAATTCATCCACAAGTCACCAGCTCCTAAATAAACCTCTGATCCTCACATCTCTAATATGCAAGATACTTTTGAAAGTAGCACTGGGAGACAAGAACAGAAGAAAAGGGTAGCGGGTACCCCAGAACCCTGTACAGTACTGTCCCTCCCAGCCCTACTAAGTCGGGCGTCCTCTCCTCATTCTCATACCCTAGGACAGACAAGAAATGAACTCCTATGGGAACAGTGGGTAAGCAAGGTTGGCCTACGGTGGCTGCAAGGCTCTCCTTGGCCTATAGCCTCCATCCTCGCTGTGTCCCTGCAAAAGGAATTACAGTTGTTTTTGGTTCTGTGACCTCAACCAAGATTGTGGTTCTAAACAATGACTCATTTCAGGGTTTTCCCAGGGCCAACTCATGCACTCATACAGGTTCATAAAAAGAAGGAGGAAAGAAAATAAGAAGGGGAAGAGAGGAAGGAAAGAAGAAAAGAAGGGAGGGAGGGAGGAAGAAAGGAGGGAGGGCAGGAGGGAGGAAGAAGGAAGGGAGAAAGGAAGGAAGGACCAACCTTGTGTCTGGCCTGGATAGGAATCCAAAATAATACCAAGCAGGCATACTGTAAGAGCTAGTTAGTAATAAGCCTGAGCTATTGGCTGAGTATTTACAGTGTGGTTATTTGGGACAGGGCAGTCAGGATAGGAAAAGTCCATTTACAGACATACCCCCCATTTAAAGAGTTTAAAAGTCATTAAGGCTTCCCTAGAACGCATGCAACACATTTGACTGGAAAATCTCTAAAGAAATCTGAGGGTATGACTGAGTAAGTGCTTGCCTAGTACATATGAAGTCCTGGATGTCATCTCCAGTACAGAGGGTAAAGAACCCTCCATTGGTGAATTTCTTCACCCTCTGGGATTTGCCTCATGAGTGCTGGGATTAAAGGCAGTGATGGCCCATGCCTTTAATCCCAGCATTTAGGAGACACAGGCAGTTGGATCTCTGTAAGCTTGAAGCCAGCCTGGTCTACAGAAGCGACTTCCAAGACAGCCAGGGCTATACAGAGAAACCCTATCTCAAAACATACAAACAAAAAAACCCACAACAACAACTAAAAAGAAATTCTCCAAAGAATTCCAGCTTTTGTATTACAATAGAGTCGCCTGCTTTATTTGGATGTGGCTGACAAAAATTAAAAAAGGAAAGAGGGATAAGATGTTGGCTCAGCAGATAAAGGCATCTGCCACACAGCCTGATGATCTGAGTTTTATCCCCAGGCTCCACATGGGAAGGAAAAAGCCAATTCCTGCCACCAGTCCCTCTGACCCACACACGCACGGAAGCACCCGAGTATGCACACAAACATTACATGAATGCATCAGATGTGATTGTAAAAAAGAAAATACTTTATTCAGCTGCCTAGAAGAAAACAGTGTAAAAGAGGGAGGTGTGTGGCGGTTCATACATGTAATCCCAGCATCTGTGCGGTCCAGGCAGGATCCCTGGAGTCCCAGGTCATCTGCTACAGTGAGTAAAAGAGCCTTCTCAGCTACATGACCACTGTGTCCAAAAAATACAAACATAAAAGAACAGGGAGAGAGAGATTGGGGGGGGGGGGCTGCTTGAGGTCATTAAGCCTGGTACTATGTTCTTGGTGGATGAGCTTTCAAACCATATCCCATGTGGCTGAAGAGATGACTCAGTGGCGAAGAGTGCTTGCTGCTCTTCCGGAGGACCAGAATTATTTTCCCAGCACCCACGCCAGGCTGTAACTAACTGTAACCCAGGCCTCCAGGAGATCCTACACCTGGCTTCCTGAATTCACATGCTAACACCCACACACAAAGACATAAAATAAATACTTAGAAAAAAAATCCTACCCCTAATAAAGTCTCAGGCATCAATGTCTTCATCTAAGACAAGGTGTCTGGCTTCCAGAGAAACCGAGTTTTCCCACAACGCTCACAAAGGTGGAAATGAGCTGTCTGGTTTGAGAGCAGAAGGGAAGGAGCAGGGACATTAGACACAGAAGGTCTCCTAGCCGTTTCTGACAGGTTTCAGAGACCCTCCTTATCTGTAGTCTTCCCTCATAGCAGCCAAAGCCAGCAGACAGGGAGAGGACCTGGGCTTCCTGACCCAATGCTCTCACAGCTTCCCACCACCCTGTTAGGGAGGTGCCTAGGCGCGCGAATTTGTACACGAATGACGACAAACAACAGAAGAACTTTCCATCCTTCATAGTGTAAGTCCAAATATCAGATGCATTCAGTGTGAAACTGTTGAGAGGTAAGCCCACCAGCAACCACCACACGGACACTCTTAAAGATGAATATTAAGTCTTTACTGCCAGTCGGTGTCTGTACAGAGAACTTGACCAAACAGTGCAGCCCTGAGGCTTACAGCCCTTCGTCTTTTATACGCAAAAAACACACCCAGGTTGTCACATTTCAGTTAGCAAGAAGCAGAGAAGCCAAAAGCAAGGTCAGTACATATAGGGACTTTGCTGGAACCACGGACTAGGTCTTTGGTGGGTTAGGTCTTTGTTTCCATTTTGGCAGGTGCTGGGACCTATGTGCTGCTCCTTAAGGTCAGAATTGTTACTCTAACATGGTGTCAGCTGTGCTAAGGTCAGGCAGACTATGAAAAGACAAAGCATTTGGGATGAAGGAGAACACTCCTGAGGGCTTGAGGGATGACTTGGCAGTTCAGAGCACGGCCTGCACTCCCAGGGGACCCGGGTTTGTTTCCTGCCATCCACTTAGTAACTAACAACCCCCCTGGAACTCCAGTTCCAGGGCATCCAGCACCCTCTTCTGAACTCCTCAGGCACATGGCACACATGTGGTACACATACATAACATGCTAGCCCAGCACACATGTAAAATAAAAAATAAACTGCTTTTTAAGATGTTACCCTGAAAATAGGAGGGCCTTGGGAGGAAGAACACTGGAACCCACGGAGAATATGTTTGCCCCTCCACTGTGATGACACGGTGCTATAAAAACACCCCAAAGCACCATCTTTGTACCCAAGCTACCTGAGAAGGGCGGGGCAGCAGTCATGTGAGCATCATGGGAAAACAAGTGAAAGACTTCCTGAATAACCTCCGCCTGAAACTCCGGACAGGTCTATACCCCAGAGCCAAGTGCTCCTCTGACAGGGTACCTGGAGAAACTGAATGCTTCCAAAGGTCACAATTAAGGATGCCAAGCAGGCTAGTGAGATGGCTCGGTGGCTAAGAGTACTACTGACTGTTCTTCCAGGGGGCTGAGTTTGGGTTCCAGCACTATATCAGGTGACTCATAATTCCTACAATTCCAGCTCTGAGACGGGCACATCTCTGAGTCGTTGGAGGCCAGCCTGGTCTACCTGGTGAGTGAATATCAGATGTCACCGTGGTGATGACTCAGTAGGCAGACTGCTTGCCACCCAGGTGTGAGAGACCTGAGTTCCAAAGCCCTGGACTGTGGGAAAGCTGGGTGTTCTAACACACATCCGTAACCTCCCGTGACACTGGAGATGAGAAGAGGCCCCTCATGGGGTCTCTTCATGGCTAGGGGTCCTGACACACACAACAGACAAGAGAGCATCTGGAACAGAATGGAAGGCGATGAGACACACCGGGCTCTCTTCTGACCTCCAAGTCTGGGCTCCAGGGAGAGAGGGAGGGAGGCGGGGCAGTATCCAGGACTTAAGGGCAAACCAGGAAACAGACGCTGGGAGGGCCCGGCTGGTCTGCAACCCGTGACCACTGCTTGTGTTCAGAGGAGGCTGTTTTATCTCACAGGCTGCTGCTGCCTTGATTGACTTTCTCCCGCGGAGTCCCTCACTGCCACCCTCCCGCGCTCTGCCCTCCTGAGCCTTTATTAGGAAATGAGAGGCTAGAGGGGTTGGGTGACGCCACCCTGCAATCTCCGGATCACGGAATGTGTAAACGCCCACCAACACCGCTCCGCAGTCACCACAGTGCGGAATGTGGAAACAGGCACGACATTACACCACAGATGCAAGCAGCTGTTTTTCAGGAAGCTGCCCCCTGAACGGGCCAGGAAGCAGGCTCGTGGCTGATTAACCCAGCCCTGCCCCCTGCTTCACCAACCAGCAGATATCCTTGCCTATTTAGAGGAAATCTAAACTGAAAGCAGAACCCCAAGGGCAAAATCCACCCAAAATGAGGACCAGCAGTGAGAATGTGCCCTACCGGAGTGATCAGGCAGCTAGCAAGAAGAGAGACTCACCGCACAGCAGACTGCTCATGCCGCCTAATGTGGATGAAGCTATTTTAAAGGACGATGGCATCTTAGGGGGAAAGTAATTCAGAAATGAACAAGAGAGACTGGTCCGTTTTCACCATGTTTTTACATTATATTTTCCACATGAAGCTGCAATAAAAAGCAGCTGTACACTTCATCATAGGGTCCATCACAGGCTCACCGGTCTAGCTGAGGACAGCCCGTTCCTCCACCTCACAGACAGGTCATCTAAAATGAAGGGGGGAGGGGCTGAAGCAGCATCTGCACGTGTGCAGGACACCAGTGGAGTACCTGCGGGGTGGTGGGCGTGTCTTCAACACAAGCCAGAGACCAGCAGCCCTGCTCAGCTCAGTAAGTGCAAAAGCAGGCTGCAGAGATGCCCTGGTGGGTAAGCGCACTTGCTGTGTAAACATGAGGAACCCGAGTTCGGGACCTGTAATCCCAGTGCTGGGGGTGGGGCAGGGTGGAGGCAGGAGGATGGCTGGAGCTTGCTGGCTACTGAATAGCTCCAGTTTTGTGGAGAGACCATATCTCAAGGAAAATAGTGGGGACTGACAGACATCTCAATGGTGAGGCCGGGCCCGGGCTAGAGTGAGCTCAAGCAAACCAGCCAGCCTTCCCTTCGTTTCCTGTTGATTCTGTTTCACCCCCCCCAAAAAAATTATTCTGACAGATATGTACAGACAGACTTGGCTTATACTGTAAACTTCACGACAAACCATTTGTATCTATTTCACACTAGATACTACTGTATCTACTTATAAATTGGATATGCTGCATTATTTTAAGAAGTCCTTGGAAAATATACCCATATTCCAAATTAGAAACACAATTTTTGGAATGAGGAGAAGACTAAGAAAAAAATGAAGCACTCACAATTCTTGGCTTACCATATATTGGCAGAAACGTGAGGTGATTCAGGTGACTAATGTTATAGGCTTCAATTCTGACATCTTTCCAGATTCCTTGAGAGGGAAAGGAAGGCCCCCAGTCCCAGCTAAAGGAGCACTGCTCCTGTGATTTCAAGAGAAGAAAAAGAGGTACGTTCTGGTTACTTGGAAAATTGAACATTATGAAAACTCTTTCCAAGGGGCGTAGTCAATAAGGGTTGAATATAAGACACACGTTTATGAAAGTGTCATGCTAAATGAAAAAGTTAGAATAAAAGGGTTGGTCTGTCTTTAGACTATTATACCCACATTCATATAGCAGTTTACTAATGATGCCATAGCAAAACACACAGGCTGGGTGGGGAGGACATCTCTGCTTCTCTCTCTTTCCACCGCTCCCATCTCCTTCTGCTGTCCAAATCTCCTTCCTCTAAACACCTTGTTTAGCTTGACAAGGATGACTCCAAATACAGTTACACTCTGAAACACCTAAGTAGAGGGGGTGTTCAAACTTCAACATTTAGTAAGTTTGGAGCACACAGTTCATCCCCTAACTGTGTGTGTGTGTGTGTGTGTGTGTGTGTGTGTGTGTGTGTGAGAGAGAGAGAGAGAGAGAGAGAGAGAGAGAGAGAGAGAGAGAGTCTTCTGTCTGGTGCTCTCGTACCCCCGTGTGCTAGATAAAGAGAACCATATGAATAGACTAAAGCAGAGGTGACGTCATTTCCAAAATTAGATTATAGACCGGCCCTTCTGTTTTGGACCTGGTCCCATGCTCTCTTGGGGCCAAGAGAGAAGCCAGCTGCTGTGTCCAGGAGCGGCACTGTGGGGGGCCTGCACAAGAGATCTGGGAACAGGATCTGCAGCCTCTTGACAGCCATGGAGAGCTCAGGATTCTTGTCTGTCGCAGACAGGCACAAGGTGATGGCTTGATTAAAAGCCTCTGAGCTTAGGTGCCCAGCCAAGCTGTATTTAGGCTCCTAACCGACAGCACAAGTGTAGTTTAGGCTGAGAAATGCTGGTTTAGTTTGCGATGGATTATTATTATTTGCTACACTGATTATTACTATAATGGCCAAAATATCAACCTAAGTGCCACAGTAAATTCATCAAGAACATAAAATCTAGTTATATATTATTTTGCATTCATCCTTCAAAAGCCTGTTATCCTGGAGCAACATTATTTCGTTTTGCTTTCCTCTTTTCAAGTGTCAATTTGGAGCCCAGGAGTGCACTAACCCTGTGCCCCTCCTAGATGGGCCTGAACGTGCTGGGACTACAAGCAGTGGCCACCACCCCAAGCAAACTCTTCCCTCTTCTCTGCCTCCCTCCCCCCTCCCCCACACACACACAAGCTCTGCCACAAGGCGTCCTCTCTGAAGCTCTCCAAAACTGCTGGGCCTAACCACTGTATTCAATAGGACAATTCGAAGAATGAGCAGCCTATTTGAAAGATAAAGATGTAATTAACACGTTTAAGAAAACAAAGCGAAACAAAACTAGCCCTAGCCCCTAACTCATTAAGTATGAACTCAGCAGTCCTTGTTTGGGAATACCAGGCACAAAAAACAATCACTTCAGACTTCAGACTCTGACCTGGGTGGTTACCTGTCAGAGAGATACAATCTTATCTGCCCGGCTACCTGACTGAGAGGCAGGGCACCAAAAAATTCCAATTTTGACATTACAAAGGTTCAGATTCAAATAGCACGAGATGATTCGGTAAAGATAACTTCTCGAGGGAGTGGGGGAGGGGTGGAGGATAAAGGAATCCAAGTGATAAGAAAGCAGAAGGGGAAGAGACCACCTGGGGGCCGAGGGGAAGCTGCCAGGAACAGGCCTGGTAAACCAGGGGAGTAGTGGGGGAAGGGAGCGACTGAGAACAAAGTAGAAAGCCGCTCCTGCACGGATTACTTTGTGTGCTGATTTAAAACTCTGACTTTTAAAAACATGGAAATAAATAAAAATATATAATCCTGACAAGCAGAAATTTTTCTTTTACTTCTTAAGAGTAAAAAAAAAATTCTCAAAATAATAAAATCTATGACACTCTGAGCTCAGCTTTGAAAAATAAGGCCTAAAAAAAGCTAGCTGCCTGAGCTCGGGGGATGAAGGTGGATCTGCTCTTGTGGAAGTTTCATTTCCTTCACTCTGTGTTTATGTCAGAGAAAGATGAAGGTGTTTCTACTACAGGAAAAAACTAAGTGTGGCTCCATCAAAGAAGCTTCTCTTTGTAACAGAGACCATTCCAGAAAACTACAATTAGTAAAATACAGAGAACAACTGATCATAGGGTTCCCAGTCACATGAATACAGCTCCTGCCCCAGGCTCAGGGGCCGCTGAAGAAGAGAGGGAAGAAAGATTTAAGGGTCCAGATCTCCAAGTCTACTGGGGCCTTGTACCCTAGAAACCTCGACAATGCCAATATGGCTGCCTCAACAAAACCTGAACAATGAAAGGGACAGAAGATGCAGAGGGGAAATTTTCAGTGTCCCACCCCTCAACGAAGAACAACATTGGTTGAACAATACCAAGTGGTGAACCCTGAAATCATGTACATACAAGCAACTTTAAAGACTCAGCACGTGGTGTTTATAGACTTATGCATTTATTTATACACACATACAATAATGATCAAGGAAAAAGAAGCCATGGATTTTAGGGGAAGAAGCAGGAAACATGGTAGAGGTTGGAGGGAGAGAACACAGGAGGAGGAGATGATGTAATTATATTTTAATTAAAATAAACAAGAATTAAGGAAAAAGAACAAGTATTAAGAATTAAGACCAACTAGAGTTGCTTCCTGGCATCTACATCTGTCTAAAATCACCACTGAAGTATATCAGACTTTCACACTTGAAATGAAAACCATCTTGAGGATGTTTATGGAACATCTGCAAATACATAGATAGCCTCACACCTTCTGCTGGCCTTTGGAGGTGTGCTGGCTAATTTTATGTCAACTTAACACAAACTAGAGTCATCTGAGAGGAGGGAACCTCAATTGAGAAAATGCCTCAATAAGGTCAGGCAGGAGGATCTTGGTGAGCTCAAAACCAGCCTGTTCTACATATTGAGTTCTAGGCTAGACAAGGTTCCATAGTAAGACACTGTCTCAAAAACAATAAAACCTATACATACTAATATAATGCAATAATCACACATTAGTATAAATCCAAGTCCTGCAGAACAGACCAAACCTCAAAAAAGAAAAAACAAACAAACAAACAAACAAACAAACAAAACAAAAACCATTTCATTCTATTTTGTAAGATCTTAGCAGTAAAATACAAGAACATCTCAGAAAATATTTCTTTTGAACAGGTTGCTAGTCACAAGAATCAGTAACTAATACATTTCACATATGATAATAAGTTTGATAAAACAAATGTTAAAAATAATTTATAGAGATGGGAATATAGCTCAGTTAGTAGAGTTAGTCATATGCACACAGGGTTTCCTCCTCAGCACCACTAGACCCAGACATAGTATACACCTGTAAACTCAGCACTCAGCAGAATTTACAGCAGAGATCAGAAGTTGGAAGTCAACCTTGGCTTCATACCAAGTTTGAAACCTGCCAGGTTAGATGAGTCCCTGCCTGAAATAATAATATAATAATTTATAGAGTTTTATTATCAGCCAGCCATGGTGGTTCATGCCAGTAGTCCCAAGACTCAGGAGGCTGAAGCATAAAAATTGCCTCTTTTAGCAACATAGTAAATTCTAAGTCAACCTAGAATACAATATCAAATTCTGTTATCCACTCTGTGTGTGTATATGAGTGTGTGCGTGTGTATGTGTGTGAACCTAAATGCTGAAACATGCTTCAGGAAGAAAATCCTAGAAGAATGAAGATTCACCCCCAAAATTCACAAAATCTTATTTGTTTGTTTGTTTGTTTGCAAATCTTCAACTGTGACTGAGGGATTAGGAGATTGAGAATTTTGGAGATGCCCCTGGAAGGACTCAAGTAAGTGGTCACCTACCAGCAGAGCCCATGCACTTGCAAGAGCATTACCTTTCGGATAAAGTTGACGTGGCATTCACCCTTCTGCTCCTTGGGGGGGCAGGCTGGGGGCACCGGGTAGCGAGTGTGAGCTTTGTTCTGAAGCTCGGCATATTGCACTGCTGACTGGAACCGCAGCTTTAAGGAGTTAGCATCCCTGACCAAGTCGGTGATGTCAAAGCTCTGAAGTAAAGAGAAGAAACACTCAAACCCACGTGGAAGAACTGGTCCTGCGTGTGAAAGTGTAGATAAAGGCAGATGACATGAAAGGGCACATGATAAGCCAATCTAGAACTATCGCATTCACAGCAAGCAATCTTCTGAAATAGAATTTAGTGCCCACCTTTAGTTATAGCTCTACTCCAAGCACAGGCTTCTAGGATTCTGCTATTTTTACTGACAGAATCATGGTCCCAGAGAACTATGCAGAGCAGAAAGTATCTTTAGCCCGGAAATGTTTGCTCTGGCTTATGCCCATGGCCTTGAGCAGCCAAGGATTCCTAGACACTTAATGACAACCTGACTCTCTGGAATGCGTAGTGTGTGTTTCTAACTCATAAGTTATTTTTGTTTTCCATAGCACACCCTTGAAACAGAAGGAAAATAAGGATACAATTTCAGAAAAGGAAAAAAAAAAAAAAGCTCCTTTTCTATGGTCATTTCCCATGAAACGCTGGACCAACAAGCCACAGAAAAGTGAATAGTAAAGTTGAAGCTGTAATTTACTTCCTCGAGGTCAGTAGAAACACCATGGGATTTGCATTGCCTCATCATCCTAAAACAGATCACCCGAGAAGCTCAGTAATTTACCCAGTGTTTCAAAGGCCTTGTACTTGACCCATGGCCAACTATGTAACTATGGCACAAAGGTACACTCATTCCCTTTAATCTGGAATCATCATTACTTACATAGCCTGTGAACATGTTGTCTGTCTTCCCAATAGTGACATTATTGAACTGGATTTCTGCAACTGTGTCAACTCCATCAAAAATCAACTTGACTTTCTGCCATTCTCTAAGAAACATCAAAAGGTTTTAAAAGCACCATGTATGAAACACTAGTTTATTTAAGTCTCTTTGTAATCAGTTAAGAACTAACAAAGTAAATATTTTAGACGGAAATATACACCTTCAACTGGTGGCTTCCAACAAATTTCAGGAGTGTGGGTTGCATATATTTGTAACTTCTTGAGATATCCAACTCAATTTTCCCCATGATGTATCAATCAAACCATTGTAATAAAATCAAGAAAAATTATAATTTTCAAATGAGTTGATTCTCCCAACTACTTCAGACTTCATTCAGACTTCAGAGTCTTTTTTTTTTTTTTTTTTTTTTTTTTTCAAGATAGTGTTTCTCTGTGTAACAGCCCTAGCTGTCCTGGAACTAGCCCTGTAGATGAGACTGGTGTCAAACTCATAGAAATCTGCCTGCCTCTTCCTCCTGAGTGCTGGGATTAACGTACACCACCACCCAGATACTTCAGAGTTCTTAGGTAACACAAAAATGTCAAAGACATTGCATTTGCTGACTCGATCCAAGAGAACATGCTAACCAACACCTTGTATCTATGTGTGAGAATTTTGTGTTCATTACTCTGCATGGCCTTACAAGGCACAACCTTGGAATTTGAAGAGTATGTAGTCTGGATGGCATTCAAGCCTAATACATGGGAATCAAACAGAAACTTCTCCATCTATTGGACAAGCGCTATCAGAGGCTGATTGTGTAAGGAAGACTTCAAGAAGAAAAAAGAATTCAATTGGGGGTGGTGGCGCATGCCTGTAATCCCAGCACTTGGGAGGCAAAGGCAGGTGAATCTCTGTGAGTTTAAGGCCAGCATGGTCCACAGAGTGAGTTCCAGGACAGCCAGGATTACACAGAGAAAATCTGTCTTGAAACAGAACAAAAGAAAGGAAGGAAGGAAGAAAGGGAGAAAGGGAGGGAGGAAGAAACAAAGAAAATAAGAACTCAGAGGAGTTAAACAGAATGTGGCATATCCAAGCACTGAAATAGTATTCAGCAATAAAAAGGAATTAGAAAATGATAAATGCTACAACACTGATGAAGCCATTATTACATCAGGCAAATAAATAAATAAATAAATAAATAAGTCCCTCTTCTCTGAAGTGATAGATCGGATGAGCCTGCAGAGGGGGAAAGTGATGGGAGATGTCATTCTGTAAATATGTTTCTCTTATTGCTTAATGAATAAAGCACTGTTGGCCAATAGGAAAGCAAGAGAGGTGGGACTAGGAGACGAGGAGGAAAGAGGAGGAGTCAGCATGGAGAGACGAGAGAAAACAGAACCGCCGGCCCTCTCTCTCCAGTAAGATAAGACCACGTGGAGATAAATAGAAATGGGTTAATACTTAAGACAGAGCTAGCCAATAAGAAACAAGTAACTGGCCAACAGCATTATATCAAATACAGAGTCTCAGTGTGTTATTTGGGGCTGGCGCGGCAGCGGGACAAGACCAGCTGTGGGAGGAAAAACCTTACTCCTTACAGGAAAGTGAGTTAGTTATTGGCTATCTAGGCTGCGATAGGGACAGTGGATGGGAATGGAAAATGACAACTATTGGGTAATGGACTGTGGTTGTCTTAATCAGGGTTTCTATTGCTGTGCTAAAACAGCATGACCAAAGGTAACTTGAGGGGGAAAGGGTTGGTCTCGCTTACAGCGCATGACCAAAGGTAACTTGAGGGGGAAAGGGTTGGTCTCGCTTACAGCGCTCAGGACTCGCTCCATCACTGAGGGCCAGCATGGCAGGAACAGAAGCAGAGGCCATGGAGGGTTGCTGCTCACTGGCTTGCTCCCCATGGCCTGCTCAGCCTGCTTTCTTATACAACTCATGTCACCTGTTCAAGGGGTCACTACCCACAGTGTGCGGAGTCCTCCCACATTAACTGTTAATTAAGAAAGTGCTCCCATGGGTTTGCCTTTGGGACAGTCTTATGGAGGGATTTTCCCAATTGTGGTTCCTGCTGAGGTAACTCTAGCTTGTGTCCAGTAGGAAAAAAAGGACAGTGGTGATGGCTGCAGAACTCTGAATACACTAAACACCACTGAATTGTACATTAAGTAAATTTTATGCTATACAGATCAGAGATCAATAAAACCTTTCATAAAGATAAGTGGAAATGCCTAGGTTGACCACATTGCAAAGTCCTAAGATTATCAACTACTTTAAAGGAAGGGCTTTTTATTTAGATACATCACTTGGCCTGGGAAGCTGAGAAGGAGAGACTGGAGAAATCATGGGCCCATAGCAGGGCCAGAGGCAACACAGGCCGTCTCACGGCCACTGGCAATTTTCACAGAAGCACACAGAAGTATTGATGAAGCAAAGGAACAGGCTTTCTACTCCTGAGGAAAAGCATTCGGAGAAGAAAATGTATCGTTTCCTCAAATGACCAGAGACTGAATGGAAGACTCCAGATTGTTCAGCTTCTGGGCAAAGTGGGAAACTGGAAAATAGGAGAGGCTACACCAAGAGAAATGTCAGGACAGACCTAAGTGATGGAGAAAAGATTGAGGAGGCGAGACCCCATCCCTAGGCACAAGCTTGGAAGAGGTGCCGCACTGTGACAACTGTGACACAAGAAGAGGAGCAACGAGACCATCAGGACGTAAAGCCAGTTTCAGTGTAAAGCCAGTGTCACTAGGGGAAGTCAGCTGCGCATCTGGAGAAATGGGCATCTCAGGGAGCCCAGAGTGACCTGGAACTAACTATGTAATAGGAGACAGGATTCTTGTGAGAAATGTTTCAAGTGTTATCTGGAAATAAAAGCATGGGACGCACAATAGTTCCATGATATTGGTCATAATATTCTGGCTTGTTTTTCAGCTCTGAGCATTGAAGCTAGGGCTTATGCACACTAGAAAAGCTCTCCAACACAGTCTGTGGCTTTAGATTTTAAAGAGATAATAAGTAATAGTTAGAAATGCCATATACAAAATAATTTCTAAAGATTAGTAATAATGGTGCTTTATATACTTGCTTACATTCTACTTCACCTAGAATATTTTCTTAAAATAACAAAACATTAGTGAAAACAATAGTTGCATTTTTCTTCATGGCCCCCTGACGTAGTTAGTCTAAGATCAAGGTTGTAGTATCAATGGTTGTTTAGCACTAAAAAAAAAACGATTTATCTCTGATCTTACTAATAGTACTATAGAGCTAGAGACATAATGCAATGCACGAGGCTCTGGGTTCAGAGCCAACTACCATCCCTACACACACAGACACACACACAAATACACACCACATACACTCACACACACGCACACACACACACCACATACACACACATACCACATACACACACACACACAAACCACATACATTCACACACACACACACACACACACACACACACACACACACACACACAGGAACACCTCATAATAATAATGCCAATCAATACATTCTCCTAGTTTCTGGAGAGGTAGAGAGGAGGGGAAGGTATGTAAAGTTCTGACAAGATTTAGGGATCTCCAGTATACCCACTGGAGAAATTATTCCCTAAGACACACTGATGATCAATGACACCATACTAACGTAGAAAACAAAACATAATTGCACAGTTACTTCAATGACATAAAGATTTAATCTGATTTAACTCTGAGATACAAACTAAGCAGACAAACATAAAAAACCCTCAGGCAATAATATAATATGCATATATAGATTATATGATGTAGAATAACACACATATACACACCTGATATTAAAGGGGATTTTGAATTCCGTGCTGTAGGTCCAGTTATCTAAGGAAATCCATCTGTAGTTGAGGTCATTAAATCTGTAGTAAGGATCCTGTAGGTACAAGGCAAACGCTAAGGTAGAAGGTAGATCACTAAATGCTAAAAATGAACGGGTGAAATAGGTAACAAACAAAAGCTACTGATTACCTAAAAATGAATGAACTCTGGGCCTAGGTGTATAAAAAGGTAATCCAGGTCAATAACACTAACAATGTGGGCTATAGATCAGAGGCTGCAGGTCTAGCTGACATGTACAAGGTTGTGAGTTCAGTGCCCGACACCGTAAAACACCAAAAATGAATGTGGGGGAAATTTTCCAGCAATATATCTAAAATGAAAGGGCTCTGGGATCCAAATAATACGTTCATTATCAGAGAACATATCCGGCTCTCTTTGTATTGATTTGTGTGTGTGTGTGTGTGTGTGTGTGTGTGTGTGTGTGTGTGTGTGTGTGTGTGTGTGAGAGAGAGAGAGAGAGAGAGAGAGAGAGAGAGAGAGAGAGAAGAGAGAGAGAGATCCACCGTTCCCAGGAACTGAACTCGGCCATCAGGCTTGGCAGCAAGCACCTTCACCCACTGAACCATCTCAATGGTCCTGCCCCCTCTTTTAAAAACCAAACTCAAAACCTCCACAGTAATTGACAGCAAATGATAACCAGAAGCGATGGGACACAACCTTCTCCCATGGCCCAGTTCTTTGGCCATTGTTGCCACTACCCCAGATGGCCTCCAGGGGGAGCCCAGCTCCTCTACTGCCCAAAATTCAGCAAAACTCCCTTGGAGTCCTTAAGCATTTCTAGATAACTTTTTACCACGGTTTCCTAAGCAAGCACTAAAAGGGCCTGGGTGTAGTACACTCACTGCCAGACTCAGAAGATTCAGCTATCCTGTATTATCCACGTTAACAACCCGCAACGCGTGGGCTTGAGTCTGTGTAGCAGCCAGCCAACAAGGACCATGGCTGATAACTAAACGTTGTGAACGGCTTGCTGCAAAGGCATGGAGACCTCCGTTTGATTCCCCAGCACCCCATGCAAGCTAAACGGAGGGCTGGAGAGATAGCCCAGGAGGTAAGAGCACTTGCTGCTTTCCCAGCGGGCCAGGATTCAATTCCCAGCCTTCAAATGGTGGCTCACAACTTTTCCAAGGGATCCAACGCCCTCGTCTGAACTCCCTGGGCACTGGGCACACACGTGGTACACAGGTATGCATACAGGCAAACTACTCATACACATAAAATAAAAATTTCAAATCCAACTAATTTTTTTTAAAGGACAATGAGTCAAGTTTTACAGGCCTCAGCATGAGCTATTGATATATCAGACAAAATAGTCACAGTCAACTCAACTATAATAAAAGGAAAACTATTATAGAAATCTATTATCTAGCTGGGTGGTGGTGGTGCACACCTTTAGTCCCAGAACTTGGGAGGCAGAGGCAGGCAGAACTTTGTGAGTTTGAGGCCAACCTGGTCTTCAAGAACTAGTTCCAGGACAAAACAGAGAAAAAGAAAAGAAAAGAAAAGAAAAAGAGATCTATTATCTAGACCAATCAGTAATTATAGCACTGTTTTTCAAATCCATTTTATAGGTGCTGTTGTGATGGTTTAGCAGCAGTCAATAGTTCTTACAGTTCCTGCAGAGGACCCAAGTTCGTTTTCCAGCACCCACACCAGGAAGCTCACAACCACATATGACTTCAGCCTCAGGTGACCCAAAGCCTTCTTCTAGCCTCTTCGGGTTCCTGAAGATGGGTAGTGTATACACACACACACACACACACACACACACACACACACTTAAAATCTGTCCTATCAGATTCCCTCAAATTGTTCTGTGTATGTCTCCACATAATATATAACAACCCAAAGAATCAGACCTCAAGGGTAAGCTAAGAAGGATGACCCCCCTAAAACAAACATGTCCATGATTTTCCCGCCTCTCAATTCTTTCTAGAGCCATCAATTGGCATAACCATGCTAGGTTTCCTTAATTAAACCCCTAGGAAACAGGGTTCCCAGCCAACTCCTCTGACTAAAAACCCAACACCTCATCTCCACCCAACAAATAAAGCAGAAGGGTCTTACATCCCCTCTTAGGCAGGACCGTACCCATCATCAGTGTGAAAGTACTGGTAAAAGATGATTAATCATCACCCTTCTGTACCCCAAAAAGATCTCTGGGATCACAGCTCCCATGTGAGAAGTATGAACTAGAGAAAACAGCATCAATAGTAACATGAAAGAAACCGGTTTTGAAGAGAAAGATAAAGTCATTCCTTACCCTGGTGACATATAATAAAGAGAGTATGGCTGGGTGGTGGCAGCGCACACCTCTAACCCCAGCACACAGGAGGCAGAGGCAGGTGGTTCTCTGTGAATGGAAGCCAGCCTGCTCTACAGAGGGAGTTCCAGGACAGCCAGGGCCACCTAGTGAAAACCCTGTCTCAAAAAACAAAACGAAACAAAAAAACAAAAACAAAAAAAAAGAGCATACACAAAATGCGTGTGCGCACGCGCATGTGCAAATTCGAGTATGCGTGTGCACAGGATGGAAGGGAGCGTTAACAGACCACACACCACACGGCCAGATGCTTTGGTGGTCTTTAGCAGCTCACTAGCCCACTGCCACTATGCTCTGTGGAGAACCTATTCCATTCTTAACAAGCTATTTCCAACTTTAAAAACGTGGCATTTTCTTTCTCTCTCCCCCTGGTAGCTGCCAAGATTTCCACCTAACCTGTACCATTTTTCTACTAATACAATTTTTCTTAAGCTTCAAAGAGTAGTAAGGTGGAGAGCGATAGAGGAACATCCCGTATCAACACACCGGAAACACACGTAATCACATACACATTCATACACCACACACACATAGAAAGCCTTAGTGAGCTCAAGCCCCACCCAGCCATACCCTATGCATTGTACATGGCTGCTTCGTGCTGCAGGAGCAGAGGTGAGTAGACGGGGTTGGACAGAGGCCAAATGGTCCCAAAAGCCTGGGATGTCCAGACCTTTCACAGACACACCTGCCACCCCCACTCTAGGACTGAGTGACCACTCACACGGTCACAGATTTTATTCCATTTGAGCGTCCAGTCCCGAGTCCTCCCTTTCTTTCCTGTCCATTTCCCACCGTTCCCTTCTCGGAAGAGTCGTTCCTCGGGAAACAGCACCAACAGTAGTAGGTGTGAGCAGTGAAAAACAGTTGAGGCACACAGGTCAGCTGTGAACATAACCATGGCTACAGACAAGGAAGCGGGGGCTGCCTCTGGCAGCCAAGGCACCTGGGTTGCTGGTATCGATCAGCTAGACACCAATGTCATATCCAGGAAGAGAGAATCTGAAATGAGAAAATGCCTCCATCAGATTGCCCTGTAGGTAAGTACTGTCTTGATTCATGATTGATGTGGGATGGCCCAGCCCACTGTGGGCGATGATGCCATGTTTAGGAAGGCGGCCTTGCTTATGTAAGAAATCAGACTGAGCAAGGCAAGAGGAGGAGCAAACCAGTAAGCGGCATTCCACCAATGCAGCTGCTTCAGTTCTTGTCCTAGCTAGACTCAGTGGATTGTAACCTAGGATGCGCATCCCGACTAGTTTTACGTCAACCTGACACAAGCTAGAGTCATCTAGAAGGAGGGAACCTCAGTCAGGTGTTCACGCTTTTAGTCACGGCCAGGTATGCCTTTAATCATGGTACTTGGGAGTCTGAGACCAGCCTCATCTACAAAATGAGTTCCGGGACAGCCAGAGGATATAGATGAGATCCTGTCTCAAACAAACAAAAAGTAAGGAACCTCAATTGAGAAAATGTCTCCATACTCCAAAACATCAAACTGTAGGCAACCCTGAAGAGCACTTCATAATTAGTGATTGATGGGGGAGGGCCCAGTCCATTGTGGGTGAGGGACACCCCTGGGCTGTTGGTTCTGGGTTTTGTAAGAAAGCAGGCTGAGCAAGCAGCACCCTCCATGGTCTCTGCATCAGCTCTGGCCTCCAGGTTCCTGCCCTGTTTGAGCTCCTGCCTTGACTTCCTTTGATGATGATCTGTAATGTGGAAGCATTATCCAAAAATAAGCCTTTTCTCCCCAAGTTTCTTTGGTCATGGTGTTTCATCACAACAGTAGAAACTCGAAGTCAGGCTGGGTGTTGTTTTCTCAAGGGCAGTGACTCTGGGGAAGAAAAACCCAGTGTCATCCAAGTTCCATTGAAATGAGAACTGAACGACCATGCTTGACTGGCTGTGGCCATCTGTCCCCAGTCTCCACCCATAAAGTAGCACCATAATGTCCCCAGGGCAGTGCTCTAAGACCAAGATGCCTATCTGTAACACATTGCTCCTAAACAGAGGCTTGATAAGCTGCTGAGGAGAAAGTGATAAGAGATTTAATGGTACCAAACAGGTTTTTATTTTAGGTTCTGCTTAATGGCTTTGTTAAATGGTGTATTTAACCTACCCCCTGTTTACTCCTCCTGTACAAAGACGGAGCCTCTCCAGTGAATAAACACAAAATAAATATTTAAGGACACAAGCCAAGTGTCTCTACTCAGCCCTATTTATAACTGCATGGTGGACTTAAACCAAGACAGTTAAAAATATCAGGAAACAAACAAACAAACAGGAAACTTTGAGGGCAGCTCAGCCAAGCACCTCAACATGCTGAGCCCAGGGCTAGCTGGCCATCTGGCTAGAAGGGCTTGGATCTTCATCCTGTCTCTCAGCTACTTGTAAAAAGTTACATGGTAAGACCAAGCAGGCAATCATGCTATATGTATTTTCTCCACCCACACAGAATTTACAGGCTAATTTCTCCCACTTGTATGATTCCAACTCATTTTACTGGGGTTGGGGGGAGGGGCACGAGGACAAGTTCCGTCGCACATGTGTGGAAGTCCGGGAATAACTCGGAGTTAGCGCTTTCCTTCCACAATATGGAGTCAATCCCAGAAGACTGAACTCAGATCGTCAGTCTTGACATTTATCCTCTGAGCCATCTTGCCAGACATATTCCAACCTTTTTCTTTTCTTTTTTCTATTTTTTTTTTAAACTT